CCCTCCCTCACGCCAGTCCATGGCAATAGCAGATTGCCATCCTTTATCAGTTAATTCATCAGCTCTTGTGGCAGATGTCTGTGTGGTGGATCTAAAGGTTCCAGCCCAGCAGATGACTCAGATTTCAGCATGCTGGGGCTTCATTTCAGCTGTATGTTTTGCTTTGAATCAGTGAAAACTTTCACCCAGAATAGTATTAAAAGTATGCAAAGGCTGCAATATCAAGCACTCCAAAGTCAGGAATGGAAACAGAAAAGTTGCCTATGCAGAAATAATTTAAAACTTTGGTATATATGTGCATGACAAAGGAGATGATAATTAATGAGCATACCCCAGGTGAGTGGTTTTTTGTTTTCTTTTCTTTTTGTTCAGGTCTCCAGCTCACTCAGGGCACAAGGTGAATGGCGTCTAACATACGAATCATCTGCATGCAGGACTCCAGCTTCAATGACAACAGGAGGTGGAAAACAGGCAGAATAGAAGAAAGATGGATGCAAGAAGACAAAGGACAGTGTTGCAATGAGAGTGCCTGGGATCACTGCATCCCATCTCTGCATTTTCATTTGAGGGGGGCAAATCACTTGGAACAGATTCTTCCCAAGCGGTCACTTGTTGCCTATTCCTTGTTTTCTAGGTCCTAAGAGCTCCAAATGACAGCAATAGCCTATTCCAATCTTCCTTGAAGAAGGAAGGGGTGGAAACGAGACAGTGAATGTGTCAAGCCTTGGTGAATGACATGAAACAAACCTGATCCCAGGCATCTTAAATCAACTATCTCAAATGAGTAGGTACTTCTGATCGTAACTGTCTCTGCCTCTGTTTCCTGTCCATACAAGGATAACATATTTGTCTCTCACAGAGGTCCCCTAAAAAATAATTAATTAACACTTCTGAAATACTCCCAGGGTATAGCAATGAGCAAAACAAAAAAGCTCATGAAGAGATTAACAATTCTATCCTCAGAGCAGGATCTGAATAGCGCACAGTAAATACAGGACAGGGCTGCACAATGAAGACTGAATCTAAAACAAAATGCTGAATAGCTGCTTATTATGTGAAAGTTTTCCATTTGGAGAACTCAGTGAGGCAGGGGTCTAGCTGAGAGAATAACGTGAGCCCCTATGATTAAAGACCATATCACAATGCACATACTCAAGGGGACTGAGCTGACACTGAACACACTATCTAAGTTCACTCATTAAATCTGTTTTAAAGAGTACGTTTGCTTGTTGGGAAAAGTGCTGGATGGCCACATGAAACCTGTCCAACAATCAAGCAGTTATGCTGCGCTCTCTGTCTCTGAGGCTTCATGTTATCCCAGAGATAATAACTGTTTGATCTCTGTAGACCATCCATATCCTGAGCTTGCCAGTGGTGAGCACTTGATCCCCAGTCCAAAACATTTAAGCACCTGCTTAACTGTAAGCACACAAGGAACACTGCTGAATTCAATCAGATTGTGCATGTGTTTAAATCTAGCTGTGCATACATGCTGTATTAGATTCCTCACCTAGGCTATAGACATTTGTTCTCTAGACAGCTCTCTGTGAAAGTGTGTTATCATGCCCAAGCAGAACCTCCTGGCCCCACAGTTCAGCTGTTGGAACAGCTCATATGAACATCCTTTGAGGTACTTCAGAAAAAAGTCAGCTGAGTTGGTTTAAACAACACATTCCTGTTCTGAGCTAATTCCTCTAACCTGCTCCAGCATAGACGGGGGAACCATCTACACGTATCATGTGGTGGAGAGGTGGGAAGGCAGTGATGTCTGGTATATGGGCAGGGAAAGGTACTTAAGAACAGAAATATCTTCAGCCAACAGCACGTGATCTAGAAGAGCAAGTCTGTCACTTCAGTCTGATCTGCAAGACTGACACCACTAGAAACAGCTGAGAATATCCCCTCTCTTCACATAGGCTAACACAATGACAGTAACTTACCATCAGGACCGATTGTTTCAAAATCAGTGACTTGGAGATTAAAAGCTTCCTATCATTATCTGATTTCTTGATCCATCCACTCCCTCCTAAAGATGATATGGTCATTATGGAAGTTGAAACACTTTAAAAATAAAATAAGCACACTTTGTAAAACCCAGAAGAACAGAGAACCACAGGGGGGTTGGTTTATTTTTACACAGTAACTACAATAAACACTTAGACTTGGACCACTCAGTGCTGGAATCCCTGTAGCTATGGCATTGCGTGCATGTCTCATACCCACTTCACTTATTTCTGTGTCAGTCATCCTCCCCCCTCCAGAATGAACTTTTTTCAAAGGAAACAGCTTATCTTCCATACTGCAGCAGCAGAAGAAAAATCCTCCTATACAGCAGTATTTAAAATGTGTTTTTATGCTCGTATGGCAGCTAATTTTCCTTAAATGATTTAAGGGAATGAATACATCTAAAAGGCCTGCACTGAGCCATTCTGCAACGGCAACATGAAGCTGAACTTCCTGTGCTTTAAACAATCCAATCTTGTGTGGACAGCTCCTCGTCACAGATCTCGTCTAGAATGGGAGGGATGAAGGTTATTTTTTATTACATTATTTTGTAGGGAAGTTTACTTTGCATTTTATTTCACTTCATATTCCCCAGTGTGGGGAGACTTCAGGTGAGGAGAGGGTGGCAGGACAGATGTGTTCAAATGCATAAACCCTGATCCATTTCAGTTTGACAACAGCCTTCCTGCAACTGGTTCACCTATGCGTGCAGCCAACCATCTATCATGCATTACTCATCTGGAAGTTACACTCTACACCTGGAGAGTAGTTAAAATCTTTAGCAGCCTGAAGTGATTCAAAGCAGGTTTTTATTCTGGCACTCTGTCAGGAGGGAGGGGCGGGGTTTTTTTATCTCAAGTACTTAATAAAAATAGTCACTTCTAATGCAGGATGGCACATGTACAGTCCCATGCCCTCTCTCTGAGGTAGCTGGCATGTTTTCCCCTTTTGTCCCAGCACTTTGGGTATGGTCTGTTCATACAAGTATTACTGGGATTAGAGGGACTGAGAAACTGGTATTGCCTGAGAAAAACAATAATGCCATATACTGCATTGTATTGCTGAGGGTCTCTAAAACTGTCAGAAAGGCTGGTATGGACTAGAGGATGATAAATCCAGACAAGAAGGTTTTTTGGTGAGTAGCTAATTCACTGAGAAATGAAACTCTGAAGAGCCGCCTGAACTTTGCTGGTACTTTAATTAAAAAAAAAAAAAAAAAAGATTCTTAAATAGTATTTAAAAAAAAAAAAATTAAATAACCCTGAAAATGAAATGTTACAAGTTACACTTGTGTTTGAAAGGCTCCTTTTTCTTTCCCTCAGAAGGAAATGAACTGGAACTGGTTCATCTCAGGCTGATCACTGGGGAGGGATGGGAAACAGAGAGATGGAGGAAAGGAAAAGATTTCCATTTCAGACCAACTCTGACCAAACATTTCTTTTGATTTTTCATTTTAGCCACCACAGCAAATAAATTCATTCTGCCCAAATAGGGCAGCTGGAAACTACCAGAGTTTTAAAGCTTCCCAGGAATGGAACAAAGCTGAAAAGAATCCTCGCCCCCCCAAATAGCTTTATTTTACTGACAGTGACTTCTAATAGTACCAGGATTTGTTGCTTTACTAGCTAGAAGCATTTCCCTACACCCAATCTTCCTGTAATGTTTAAGGACCTCTATTCTTGGGAAAAAAACCTTTCTTCTCAGACAAAGCAACCTTCATGCTCTCCATCATCTAGAAGGAAAATTGTCTTGCTATTTGGGGTAGGAAACAGAGGAAAGACCAGGCTGACTGTAAAACTCCTTTCTGTACTTTCCATCGTCATCACTCTAATGCAGCAGAGCTTAGGAGCTTTGGTCACAGGCACAATGCTAGGTGCTGCACAAACAGAATAGAAAGACAAATTCTGTGCCAAACAACTAGCAGTCTAAGAAAATATTTTCCAGGCAATTGGATTCCATTCTATATGGAAGGACCTTGTCTATTAACCTATCTTCCTTGTACCTAAAACCCCTTCTGTACAGGTATTACTACAAGCTGGAAGATAAAAAGTCCAGTTAAGATGTATTGGGAGAACCAGGAGTTAAATTAAAGGAGCTCTTATACTATACATGATGTAGCCAGGAGTAAGAATCCTCTTTCTTTATTAGCAAGGCAAACCGGGTCCTTTCTCACACTAACAGAAAGGAAAAAAGAAAAAAATAGAAAAAAAAAAAAGGTAAAACTTCAGGCAATTAAAGATCCAAATGCCATCTCCATAATGGGAAGCAAAAAGAAAGGACAAATACCAGGAATGCCATACAGAAAAAATAATCATCTATAAAAACTCCTCTTATTTTTTTGGCAGTGATTTTTTCCTACCCATCTCCATCTTTGTTCAGCAGTTTTTCTTAGGTGCCACGTTCAATAATCCTTCTGTGCTTTGATGTCAAACATTCAATAGCTGTCTGCCTCCCTCCCACTCTGCTTCTCCATATTCTCTGCAATCCATCTCCTCTGATTAGCTAAGATTTCACCTTCAAGAACACCTCTGCTTCTCTAAGTGAGCATGAGTGTGTGCGTGTGTGTTTATATAATATTTGCAAATATTATCCCCCTTCTGCTCTGCACGCTACATAGCAACCCCTGCTGGAGCTCTGGATTAAACATCAATGCCATTCAGTAATTCAATTTGGGGGACCTGCTGGTTTGAATCCAGCTCAGGACATCACAAGAGCAGGTCGATTGAATTTAGGCCCTGCTTTCAGAATTATTCCATATTTAATCTGAACTGAACTTCATTTCACTTGCTCTCTCCACTCTGATGCTTCTTGTGACAAAAGACACAAATACTCCCTGATCGCATGCAGTGCAAGAGGTGTTTGCTTACTTCTCTTTTATTTTGGTTTGCCACTGGATTAAGCCATGTCAGAGTTACTGGCATCTTGCACAGCCCTGCAGCGGGAGAGAGTCAGTACCTCATGAAGTGGCTGTTCTGACATCACTTTTCCTCACTCACCGGATTGTTGTACATCTCAATGATGAGCTGTTTCACTCCGTGCAGTGTGGGATGAGCCCAAGGAGATGGATTTGCCCAGTGCCGGTTTAAATCAAACCCCATCAGGGAGCACCTGCACACACAAAAAAACAACACACACAAAGGACATACATGGGCTGCAGCCTCTTCTGGCTTCAGCTGCAGAATCAGGGCTGTATTCTGCAGCTGATGTATTTAAACAAGTTATTCTCATGGAAAAAACAAAGCAAATGCTCCCCCGAGGACAAGGAAAGCCTGCAGCAATGGCCACTTTTAAAAATAACATGACCAATAGAGTATCAACTGAAACATCTTTCATCATTCAGCCTTCTTCCCCTCCACAACACATATGCCCACTCTATTCTTTGCGTTTTGCCAGCTTTTCATGCTGGCAGTGGAAGAGCCTGCTTGGCCTTCAAGGTTCCCTTCTCGTCAGTGCTCTAGGTGGGGGTCTATAGCTATGAGGATGATTCATAAACCGCATCACCAGGCCTTTACTTTGCCCTCAGTCAGGCCTTGACTCAGCAGAGCTGTTAAGAGCATTGAAATCAATGGCCATTAAGTATGTGCTTAAGGGATTTAAAGCATGAATGTAATTGTTGCTCTAACCCAGGGCCTCAGTCTCTTCCCCTCCTGCAATTGCCTACACAAAAGTTAGCCAACCAAGACACTAAGTTAAAATGCTTATTGGCCATCAAATCTTGTGGGTGTTGAAGCACATATGCCACCTTGGCTTCTCCTTGCTGCCCTGACTTATATCCCTCTCAGTACATTGTCTTGAGTTTCATTCTGCTGCTCCCAGTCCCCCGGAGTAATACCTCATTTTTTGTCAAGTCCCACTGAAACTCAATGGGCTGTTGTTAGAGTGAAAACAGAAGAAATTACAAGGCTGGAAGTGGCACAAATACAGGGGGGGAAATCATGTCCCTTGCCTACTGCAGAGATCACCTAGACAATCTGTGGCCACTGATAAAAGCAGGAAGAGAAGCCACTTCTGTTGTCTCAAGCTGAGCTTGGGACCAGTGGACCTTGGGTAGATCTTGCTCAAGAATTCTGTGAAAGACTACACATACATAATAAAAGCCCAAGCAGAGATACAACTTCCTCTATATTTAAAACAAACAACAAAAAAGCAACCTCACTTCTAAGCCTTAAAGCTTCTTGAGAAAAGAAGAGCTTTCATTGATCCCTGGTCTATTACGAGAATGTCTGTTCAGCCTTAATCTTTTAAACACACCTATGCAAACAATAGAGATTTACTCCAGTAGCGCTATCCTTCAACAAAAATTGTAAGAATCTGATGACCAAAACCCATAAGTTTAATTGGCAAAAAGAAAGGAAAATGCCTCACTTCTCTAACAGCTGAAACAAATGATTGCATACATCAAACACAAATAAAAACTAACACAGAGAAGTGAAATGCTAAGAAAACTGAGGGGATGAATCCTATGAACCAGAAAATACAAAGTTAACAGGAAACTCTTTTGTAAAAATTCTTTTGGGAACCTAAGCAGGCAGGAGCTGTCATGCTCCTTGGCCTTAGACAACCCAACCATCAGGCTGTCTGGGAGTTCAAACACCCAACTGCCAGCTCTGCAACTCCATCACTGCTGTCTTGGTGTACAGACAAGCCAGATGGCTCACTGTGGTGGAGAAAGCCACCTCCTTGTCTTGGTGGTCACTTGTCTGCTTGTCTAGTGAACAGGTGGATTTCTTCTCTGGACACTCCAACAGCTACAATTCCATAGACAACTCTGAAAGTTGTCTCCACCCTGCTATAAAGCAAAGCATATTATATGAGATTTCTCTCTCTTTTTTTTTCTCTTCACATAAACTCTCTCCACTCAGTTCTACTAAATCCTATCTTCATGTGAACTCACAGACATTAATATAAAATCAGAAGTACTTCCAGAGACATAGGTGGAATTACATTGGGATAAAACTGGTGTAAGAACAGAATCACAGGAATGAGTTTTTTGTTTAACAAAAGCAGAAACTGTGATGATCATTATGAGTCTTACTGTATTTTGGCACAATTCCCAAAGAAACAGCATGCTTACTCCACAGGGTAACTTTCTTCAGAGATCAGAACCTGAAATCATATCCCCTTATATGGTTAATGTGTCCCATCTACATTTTGTTTTAAGAATATTTAAAACTAATAACACTACAGAAAACAAGTATATTTAGATTCCATTATGTTCATCTCCAAAGCACATTGAACTGACCAAGCTTCAGAGCACCAAAAGCAAATTTTAAATTCAAATGTGGATTGTCAATATTAAATTTGGGGTTTGGGACTTTTTAGATAACTTTATATAAGTCATCCCTATAGGGAACAGAAGTAAGCAAAATCTAATTTCTGTAAGATACTAAGGCATTGTGATTTGCAATATTTGAATTTGCCATGAAAGTCTGGTTAGTGATGAATCTCATAGTTCATTTCAAGCAACAAGAACAGTTGAAAATTGTTGTCTTTACTTGAGAAGACTTTATAAACAGAAGGAAGCAATGCTTGACAAACAAGTTATTCATTTGGGAAGCTCCTCTGAGATATATTTAATAGGAACACAAATTAATTTCCAAATATCATTTAGCTAGTCTTTGATGTGGTATATCACATCTTTATCAATGTAACAACAATTAATTATATTTCTGAAGTAGGCATTATAATTTCTTTCCAGCCTGGGAATAGTGTAAAATTTTCTCTCCCCCCCTCCTCCCATTTTTAAGTCTTTTTTCCTTCCTTTTTACCTAAAGACAAATTTGTATCTACCACATTCTCTCTTTATTCATATGTTGCAAACTTGTGGTCTCTCTAAGGAAACATCAAGTTGTGTTCCTTGGTACTTCAGATTTGATTATTGACTCTATTACATGTAGAACTGTCTCCCAAAGCTCACGTATATCAGGACATGACCAAAACATATGGTAAGAGTCTCCCACATGCCTATTACAGATCCTTCATTCATTATGTTCTCTTGCTCCCAGATGATGTGATCTCCCCTGTGGCTAATACCTCCAGTGCAAGAACTTGAACAGGATAACTTAAAAATTGCATCTTGCACTGCTTTTTAATTCCCCCTACCAATCTTAAGCCAGCTCATTTCTAGTACACACTGCTTGCTCCTTCCATGGCTTAACTGTTTACTTGCTGCTTCAAGCACTGGGTAGGCAAAATAGAAATATAGGTATACTCTGGAAACAGCAGCTCTACAATGGGAAACAGTGTTCCAATATAATACAGAATCCTTCTATATTTTAGACCAGCTTTCTTACTCAGAATGCAAGTGTTGTCATTGGCTTCAGTATGGTTCCTCATGTGACTGTAAGTGTTCCCCAGATTTAGAAAGGGCCTCCAAATCTGTCCTGTACAGATTAGGTTTATTTTGTGCACTAAATAAACTAATGTGTTCGGTACAAAATCAACAAGGGGAAAACCCCCTAAATTATATCAAAAAAACTGTTTAAGGATGACCTTTGAAAGGGGAAATGGAGGAGAACAAAACAGGAGACATTACGGACTCCAAGAGGTGCAAGGGAAGACAAAAGCAGCTTCAAAATTAGTGAGGCCCAGAGCAGGTGAACATTTCCAGAGTAAGGGCACTGGAGAATACCCCATTCCATGAGGTTTAGTGGCCATGCCCATGAATGCTCTTATAAATGTGGCTGGTAATATTGACATGGAGCCAGATAAGAATGACATGCTGGCACAGACTCTCGTAGGTTAGAAAAAAGTGTAATCAGGAATAGGTGAGCTTTCTAAAACAAGCAAAGTAGCAAACTGCTACTATTACTTGATTGTGGTCTTCATTCATACTGTGAAAACCTGGGTTGTGTGTCACATAGTCATTGCTGCCACCAAAAATTACATGTATGTAATTTAAAATATTTAAGCTGTTGACAATTGTTTGAATTTTGGATTATGCTGATTAAGGTTTGCTAGATATACAGACCACATACTATGTTTCTGCTTTGTGAATGAATGTACATTTAAATCAGGTTCTGTGATTATACTTGTTGAATTAGAATTTGTTTCACAAATGTTCTCCAGCCTTTTTCTAAAATTTCTGTTTTCTATAAGTAGATAAATTTATTACAGTGTTTATAAATTTACATAAACACAGTGCAAATTCAGTCAAAGCAAATGAGTTTCAAAATTGAAATGGAAACTGAAACATTTTGCAGTATTCATCCCTCCCTACTTGGGAGGCAGCCAGATCTCAAGAGGTTACCAGCACAACTCAGTAAAACCAAAGATGTTCAGACCAGCATTCAGCTTGCTGGGCAATTATCTGGACAGAACCTCCTTGCCTCTGGGGGCTTAACTCATCACTGGTTTTAAGGATTTCTTATGCAGCTGCTTTAAGGAAAACATCCTTGTCCCTTTCCGGAAATGAGGAAGGTTTAGTACCAAGGCCTATGCTGTGTTTATTTTTGGGCCTGCTTCCTATTCTTTCAGGTTGTGCCGCTTCTTTCTGGAATCTCCAAGTTACAGAAACCTCCAGGAACTCTGCCTTCCTTTCACTGCAGTTCTCCCTCCCCTGTTCGTTTTTGCTACTATGTGAGTCTAAGTCTCTCACTAACAGACCCATTTCCACAAGGTGAGATATGGAGAATAATGGAGGAAAGGAGTTAAAGAAATCCTTTTTCATGGCATATGATTTATTACAAAGAGAACTCTACACTCTTCCCTTCAGCTTTGTAAGGTTGCATTGGTTCATTGGATCAGTACCAGGTGAATCTCCAGATAATGCCGCACACAAAGCCAGGGAGTTCAAATCCACAAATGGCACTACCAACAGGGTTAGGATTTGAAATTGAAAAGGTAGTGGGGGGAGGGGGTGCACTGACTTTTTTTTTCCTCAGGCTTATTGCAATAAGAGTGGAGACAGAGGGTAATTGGTCTCTATTGTTGCACTTGTCTGAAGCAAGAGTTATAGCAAGAAACTGCTGTGAGACTGCAGCCTGCAATATCATGCAGGAAGAGTAGGTATGCAGTATGAGTGAATGCAAGGGGAACACGTGGAAGACTTGCTTCTTTTAATAAATATATCATTTTAGACTTGATATATTCACGACATTTTACAAATC